CACTGGAAATGAAAGAAGCATTCCCTCTGAATTTACACCAATGGAATGATTAAGAATAATTCACTTGAGATGTTGTTGATCGAGAACTTAACTTGCTATGAAGAGTGAGAAGATCCTTTGTGAATAAACTCATTGCTTTTTTCCTCAAATGACCAGTCCATGGACAATCAGTAAAATAGGAGCTACTGCAAATAACATGTACCAGATGGACAGGTTGACTTTTATTTGCTGTGGTGACAATTAACTGTCAATGTATAATGACATCAGTTTTTAAAGATTTTATTTATTTATTATTTGAAAGAGAGAGAGAGAGAGCAAGCACTTGAGTACTGGTGTGAGCAGGGTGGGGGGCAGGGGCAGAGGGAGAAGCAGGCCCCCCACCTAGCCGGGAGACTGATACAGGGCTCCATCCCAGGACCCTGGGATCATGACCTGAACCAAAGGCAGACATTTAACCCACTGAACCACCCAGATGCCCCAACGTACAGTGACATCATACTAACTAATTTATTCCTGGTTTTGAGCTGAGCGTTTTGGCCAGATTTGTTTAAACATCACAACTGACATTATTTTATAGTGAGAGAAACTGAGGCCCGGGAAGATCCAGTTATGTCTTCAGTAAGTATGAGAATAAGATTTAACCATAAGCAGCCGGATTCTAAAAGTCAAACTAATAGCTCCCCTTCTTCAGTGTGATTGAGTTACTCATCTAAGAGTTTGAGCTGCTTTTTAATCTTAAGATTGCTGAAAATATAATTAAAATATCATAGTTCTCAGTAGCCTATTAAACAAAATTGATAGAAAGTCAAAACAAGTCAGTAAAAATATACAACATTTAATTCCTTAAGATATAGTAGCTATGGACCTTATTAGATACTTGAAAGTACTCTAAACATTTTGCATTTATTTCTCTGATGTAAACCTTACAACAACTTTAATTAAATCTGAAAAATGTTTAAATTATTATTTTTTAAAGATTTTGTTAGTGAGAACACATACATGAGAGAAAGAGCAAGAAAGAGAAAGAGAGAGAGAGAGCACAAGCAGGGGCAGAGGGAGAAGCAGACTCCTCCTTGAGCAGGGAGCCTGATGCAGGGCTCCATCCCAGGACCCCAGGATCATGACCTGAGCTGACTGAGCCACCCAGGCACTGCCTAAATCTGAAAAATGTTTACTTGAACTATGACAATATTGACATTTGTCAGGCTGAAAAAACAAATACCAAATTATACAATTGTTTTATTAACAATTTTTTGGTATGTATTGAAATAAAATATTATTTGAGATTCAGTACCTTTTATTTTTCTAGAACAACCACAAAGTTCTTATAAGATTTAGACATAACTGAGAATTTATTGACAACATTCCATAGATCTGTAATACAAACTTACAGGTCTAATTTTCATGTGGATTGGATCTTGAGAGTCAATAATGAGTTTGCTTTTATTTTTAAACAAATTTTATATTATTCTAGTGATATACTAAAGGAAATCTCAATGGCTAAGTGTCCAGATATTAGTTGTCTGTCAAATAAATAAATAAGAATTTAAAAAAAGATACATGAGAAAACTGAGACTACCAGTTTAATATTGAAACTGAACCCAAATTAGATTAATATTTGCCTAAACTTTACTTTCTTCCCACTAGAGCAAGCTGCTTCAGAGTCTCTGAACAAACCAAAGTCTGGGTATAAAATGTTGGGGGAAGATAAAGTTAGCATCCAGTTACATAAATGGATACAAGTCAGGAGATCATATAAGACTATGTAAAAATGACTTGAGAAAATTAGAAAATCTTGGGCTGCCTGGGTGGCTCAGTCAGTTGAGCATCTGACTTTGGCTCAAGTTGTAATCTCAGGGTCCTGGGCTGGAGCCCCAAGTCAGGCTATGTGTTCAGCAGGGAGTTTGCTTCTTCCTCTCCTGGTGCCCCTCCCTCTGTCATGCTCCCTTTGCCTTTCTCTCAAATAAATAAATAAAACCCGAAAGGGGAAAAAAAAAAAAAAAAAAGGAAAATCTTAATTAACTAGAGGGAAATAAAGTATAACAACTATTTTTAATAACTGTAGATTATGATGCATTTATCTTTCTTTAAAGATGTGTTTTGATCATATTATGTGCTTCCAAATGAAAAATTTGAAGACAGAAGGGTTATGCCTTTATTAAATCATTATAATTTTATAAAATGTTTACTTTTACATCAAACAAACAAGAGAAGCTCTCTAAACTATCTGTAACTCTTAATTTTACTAAGAATAAAGTTAGAATGAGGAGGAGGATTAGGAAAAAAAAAAACGAAGAGGAGCTAACAGGAAACTGGCAACTACTATTTAAAATGTTTGAAAGAAATGTTAGGATTTCTAAGAAAAGCATGTAATTGTGATTCTTGATGAAGCAATTATAATCTTAGTGTTGTTGTATGTGGCTTAGGTTCTTAATAAAATGTGGAAATAAATTGAACTGAATTTACTTTCATTTAATTATCTTCCCCAGGACAAAAACAAACAAACAAAAACAAAAAACAAACAAAACAAAACAAAAAACAACCAGTGACTAATAGAAGACAGAGGGAAGAGATTTTGATTATTTATCACATTAACAAAAAAAGTTTCTTACCTTGACCTGAATCATTACTCCTACGTCTTTATTGCTTAAGGAATGAGATGTAATACTTTTTAGAGTAACTCGGTACCATCAAGTACTTTTTACAAAATGTGTTTGAGAATTTAGCTTTTCCATTAGCTGTGAGAAAGTTATTAGGCAAATTAAAAGACACAATTTTAAGAAGAATGCTTACCTAATGAAGAGAAGAAAACTTTTTAAGGCATTTCTGAAAACTCATTTACAGAAAAGTAATAAAATTGTACTCTCTCAAGTGGTCTGCACAGATTAGGTTAATGCGTTAATTTTTGATTTCTATTCAGTTGTTAAAACAGGTTTCTTAGCAAAAGTGGCTGCATACTTATATGAACTATACATTTGTTTCATCATATATAGATCATAAATACCTTTAAAAAATTAAATCTTATCTACTTACCAAATAAACATAAGGTGATTCAAATTCTGTATTTCAGGGCTCTGCTCATTTACACTGGTGTGTGAGGACAAATTAGACAATCCATTATTATACTTTTGTGATTAACTGCAATTAAAATATAATTCTAGCCTTAGGTTGGCTGTGAGCTGTGACAAACCTAGAGTAAACATGGGATCTACACTCTGGGAGAAATTATCTCCTGAAAAATGATCTAGACATTTTAGGACAGGGTCATGTCTCTTCTGAAAATGTCTAGGAAATTCTAGAAAATGTAGGAGTAGTTCATTTCCAGTTTCACTGATGTCCAGTTCTTTTAATTGCTATCTTGGGCAGGACATCACAATGGAAAGTGGTGGTTGTTGCCTCACGGTTACGGTTTAGTCAGACCCAGGGGTGAGTCCGTCACACAAAGACAGGATGTCAGGGAAATGCCAGGACCTAGTGCTAGAGCCACCATCTTGCAGTCTGATCAGCTGTAGGAAGATGCTGAAGGTGTACTGTTGAGTAGAAAAGGGTCAGATAAGTTTCAGTAGGACTCCAGAAGAAGGCATGAAACTTTCTGAGAGGATCACATCCAGAGAAGGGATGTACCAAAACTCTATGAGGTGATAGAGCCAAAGATTAGATGCCAGAGAACAGTGAGTAAGAGGTAAGCAAAAACATGGTTCCGTGGAACAGGGTCTGGCCATGTGTACCCGTGCTCTGTGTTTTAGGGGTTTGTGTGGGAGCTTTGTAGTTTAGGTATCTTAACATTTCTACTTTGAAGTACATGACTTGGCTAACTTTGTTTGGCCTGATGTTGTCTGCTTGTTGACCTCGCTGTGATTCCCAGGCTGGAGTCATGGTGATAAATATATTGCTCATTGAGCATTTTGATGAGCAGAGCCCTTTCACATAAAATGTCCTATTTAAAAATGGTAAGATTACAGGATAATAGTTATACAGAAAACATCAATAAGCTGGTTCAAAGACCAGCTCTAAAACTTTCCAACTATGTGAACTGGGGCAGATTCCTTAGTATCTCTGTGTTTCAGTTTTTCCATTGGTAAAGTAGGGAGATGAATAATACTTAGTTTTTAGGGCTTTTGTAGGACTTTAGTAAGGTAATACATGTAAGTATTTAGAACAGTATCTGGTACATGCTAAGATTTCAAAAATTTTATTACTATGATAAAAATATGTGTTGGAAAAAGATTTTTTCACTCTATACATCTGCTACATAAAGATTTATATAGATTCAGTTTCTAGGTTTTTTTTTTCCTAATTAATTTTCTTGGATTGTTCTAGTCCGGCTGCTGCACATAAAGAAGGCAACATCTGTTGTTAGCAAATAGGTAAACTAATAAAGAAGATAAAGGGACATTATTAGCTAAGTTCACTGTTTTGTTTATGTTTTAGAAAGTTGTCCTGATACACAGAGTAATAAAACAACAGTGGCTCTTTTATAGGTGTTTGAGGAAAATACTTCTGTACAATTGCCACATTGTCAATTACAAAATTGCCCCTCAGTTTCCACGATATGATTTTTTTTTTCTTTTCCTATCTGCGGAAATGAAGATTCTACGTCTGTTCTGGCCAATGTTCTTTGCAGCTGAATTCAGACGGTTCCCCCTCCCCAGAGCTTCTCACAGCCACCATGGAATCTTTCACTACCTGGAAAAGTTTTAATATTCAGCAGGTTAAGGAAACCCATGGTCAGCTCTAGAATTTTAGTCTCTGCTGAGCTTTCAAGGTGTCAAGACCCTAAAATAATATGAACAGCAGGAGTACTAAATCTTTCATTATTTCCAGTTTCCCCTTGAGCATACTGACTTTGCAATAAAGAAGCTGTCATTGACACTCTTCTTTATTGCAAGGTGGGTAATAGCTACGGGGAGAAAAATAAGAAACTGTGTCAAGTTAGCCCGACTGCCATTATGATTCATGTGTAATCATTGCACATTTGCATCCACTCTCTTTCTACACAGGTACTTCATAGATTGGAAGAGTGATGGGGACAGCTACTTTACAATAGACGGAACCGAAGGAACCATTGCCACTAATGAATTACTAGACAGAGAAAGCACCGCGCAGTATAATTTCTCCATAATTGCGAGTAAAGTTAGTAAGTATGGCATGGACAGAATCAATGTTACACTGCAATTCTTTGGATTGAACACTCTTAAACGAGTCCCTGTTGAGGTGTTTTTCATTTTTTGTACTGACAGCTGAGTGGTCTCCTGGGGAAACTCGGAAACCTGTTCCTTTTCCTCAGAGCATAAGTCCAGAGGAATTGTGACAGCTGCCAATGAGCCCTGTTTGCAGACTTGCATGAATATCTAGCAGCGCATTTCATTGTGTGACCTCATCCCTTTCCACGCTGTGCCCTCCAATATCACCCACCGGTGTTCCAACTTCTCTTCCACACCGGACCTCCATAGACAGTATCAGCATCTCCTGAGGCCGGGCAGGAGGAATGAATTCTCACACGGAATCATCCATTCTGAAATAATTTCTGAAACTGAAGAGAGTATTTTAAAATCACCCCCTTCCTTCTCTCTCCTTTCCTTAGAATGTAATTTTAATGTATTTTTTTTTTTTTTAATGAATGTCACTGCAATATACAGGAGCTTTAAGTAGTCACTCAAAATCGAAAGGATTGTTAGGACCAATCCTTTGTGTTGATTTCTGCTTGGTCCAGAAGAGACTCCTCTAAACTGAGAGCGACATAGCTCTCAATATGTTTGTCTGAATAACCTAGGATACTATCATGACTTCCTAAGGTAACAGATTGGGGTGGGGTGGGTGGTTATCAATGTAGTTGTCTGCACAAGAAAGTGCATCTTCCCATCCATCTGCTTACGGTCTTTTGAAAGATGTGGGGAAATCCCTTCTGAGCATCTTTCATTTTGTTTCTTTCTCATTTTATTATGTTTATCTGGTACACATACTGTGGCAGCTAATTTCATTTTTCTATGCAAGGGAGAGCTAACTGTGAATGCTTCTGTTGAGGGGTTTTTGTTCAGTCTTAATTCAATGGGGTGTAAATATCAAACAGTTTTGTTTATCTTCGACAATTCCTTCCAAACATGAATAGTCAGACACCTATTCTCAGGCCTTAATGGTATCTTCAGCTGATTTCATTATGTTGTCGTTACTGTGATTATTAAGGGTAAGACAAACGTAAAAGAATGTGCAGTGTCCACCTTGTTTACTGGAACACTGACCTGTCATGGGAGTAAACTGACTTCCCCAAGGCTGCCATACTTGGGAGGTCACACACTGGTGGTCAGGTTGACCATCTCAGTTCAACTCATACCTACCAGTGTGCTTTGTATGCGGGTGAATCTGTCTTGGGATCTCTAGCCCAGGCCATTTGTTAGCGGAATACCACAATGCAACCTCTACCAATGCCCCGTGAAATGGAACATACACCCGGACCAACCCTGCCCAGATGCTTACCTCACAACACTGGGAGAAGGACTAAAACAGTAATTAATTTAAGCAACTGCATTTTAGGGCCATTTGTTGTTACACAGGAATAGATGACCGCAGAACTCAAGCACATCGTAAGCTGAAATGGTGACCCTCGCTGGTGGGGGGGGGGATAGATTCTCTGGCTGGAGAATTAGAGTGGAAAGGACAGAGGCAAGGACAGATACATGGGTCTCTCTTACCTGCCCCCATATAATACTCCATTGCTTGCCACTGCTTCTAGGGCTAAAAAGGGACTGACAGTGAAGGCAGTTGCCAAAACTTTGTCTTCTTATGTGATCTTTGAGTTATTTGATGTAGGGGGGCTCTGGACATCCTATCCACATAGGAACTTGATTTGGGAGCCCAAAGTTGGGTTCCAACCTCTTAATTCCAGGGTCCCCTTGCATAGAGAGGACAGTCTTCTAAGGAGAGTTTATAGCATGATTTCTCAATTTTAGCTTCCTGTTGTGCTCATTTGACCCTGAGGAAACTCACACATCCTTGTCACACTGGACGGGGACTTCCCAGGCTGTTCTACTGAATGGTTTCTCTGTGCAGCCATCTCCTTTCACATCTGCTCCCCTTGCTCAGTTAGGCTCTGAGAGCGGATCATCCAGTCAGCGGCCTGAGTAAACATATCATCAGGAGAACGGAACACCGGTCTCCCCTTTTCAGAGGACACCCGTTTTCTTTATGGTGTTTTCCTGGTTTCCTTTCACATCTGGTATCTTTTTCCCCCTCCTATACCATATCCTATTCCATTTGTTACTCATTATTCCTTTCATATTAACTTTGAATTATTTCTCTCAGAAGGTTGGGGGATAACTTAACTATATTGTAGTTAGAAAATAAATGTTGGTTTTCTAAGATCTTTGGCAAATGTGGTGAATGTGAATTAAATGTGGAGTGTAAGACTTCCCTGAACCATTCACTCTAATGGCTTGCACATAATAAGTGACAAATAAGCAGAGACGGTCTCTTCAAGTATTGCCAAAGGCATATTGATCATAACAAAAGATTATTTATTAGAAACTATCTAATCTTACCTAAACCTTCTTATTAATAGACACAAAAACCATATTTCTTGAAGTAGGAATAGTAGGCTTCCATACTTTAACTCAGGGTGAAAGTCTGCAGATAGTTCATTAATCACCTGGGGCTCAGAAAGTTCTCTTTCTCCCCAGCGGCTGTGTAGACCACCCAGACCATCACCATGGTGTGAGGGTGGGATAGTAGTGGGTCTGGTACCTCGTCAGAGACTCTACTTGGCCCACCTAGACAATGAAAGGAGGGTGTGTGCACTTTTGCAGTAGAAGTACCTGACACTGAGCCTCAATTTTAGATTTTTCTTTTTTTTTAATTTAAAGATTTTATGTATTTATTTGACAGAGATCACAAGTAGGCAGAGAGGCAGGCAGAGAGAGAGAGGAAGGGAAGCAGGCTCCCCGCTGAGCAGAGAGCCTGATGCGGGGCTCGATCCCAGGATCCTGAGACCATGACCTGAGCCGAAGGCAGAGGCTTAACCCGCTGAGCCACCCAGGCACCCCTTAGATTTTTCACATTTAGAGAAATCTGGGGGTTTTTTAGCTGTCAATATGATTAGGGCATATTCTAGCTCTAGTTTTTACCTAAATGCAAATTAGAAAACCTTTGTGTGTGGATTCTCATTAGTTATGTTGGTCCTTCCTGGGAAATATGCAGAACTGGAACTTAGACACATAATATATACCTTATCCATTTATCCATATATGTGTGTGTATAAGTCTTATACAGTATAAGAGTGATGTTAAATTAACATTTCTAAAATAGGTACCCCTGTTCTGTTGCAGTACCTATTCCAAGACCACTGTGTAGATATTAGACCCCAAGGAAGTCTGCTAGGGTAAATACTATGTATCCATGTGAAAAATAAGGAGGCTGAATGCATACCACATGGTAATTAAAGATTTACAATAAGAATAGCTTATTATGGGTTTTATTTTGCTTGAATTCACAGAGTTTAAAAGTAAAATTTATTCATATTCTAATGCATAAGGCTGTTTTCATTGATCAAACTAGCCAGCTGAGCAGGAAACTATCCACATGGTGAATGACTGAGAAATAAATAATTTACACTTATACTGCCAAGGAGAAAAAATTATGTAAGTATACCTTATTGCAGATTTAACTAGCATGTGTTTTGGCCTGACCCTCACATAAAAAATCTCAGGCAAAGGAAATGTTACTATGATTGAACAACTTCCAATTAATTAAAATACAGTCATTAATCAGTGTTGCTATAGTTGGAGATCCAAATAATTTTATTAGACTTCTAATAATCCTTTTATGCTTCATTACTTTGCTGTTTTTATGACACTAATCTTGACAATTTTAAGAAAGATAGAAGTTCCAAAACTTCACTTCTTCAAATTATCAGAAACTTTCAGTACACAGATGTTTCCAATTTTTTTCAGCATTACTATAATAACCATCATTAGGCAAAGATAATTAAAGCCTTAGAACATACTTTATATAATTGTGAAATAAACAAATGGTCCCAGAGACAATTCTACTTTTCTTGGTCAATAGTTATCCATTTATTTGCATTTATTATGAAACTGGTCAAAAATCAGTGAAATGACTCCCTAACTTCTATATTTGGGGAAAATTTTGTATTCAAGTATATCATTATGAGTTGGGATTAAATTGTTGGGTAATTATTTTTTTGAGGTTATTTGGTATATAGAGCTATTTTGTTATAACTTCTTTTTACTTCACAATAATGCAAATGATAACATTTTCATGTGTACAGAAAAATTAAACTCTGACATTACTAGCCACAGTTCAAGCTAAACATAAATTCATACATGTATTTTCATAAGTTTTTATAAAATATCATTTATGTGCAAAACACAGCTTGTTGTGTTATGAGAAAAATGAGACTGAAGTCTATGCTTAAGGATATTAAAGTGTAGGAGCAGTCAGAAATTCACTAAAATAGAGAATTTTAGTAAATTATAACAATGCCAATTATGGTTAATTCCAGGGATTTCAAATTTAAGGGTGTTCTTAAACAACCTCCAGGGGGAAGTTGTGAAAGGTTCTAAATGACCAAAGTGTGATCATTCAATGATAAAGGGTTTAAACATAAAGAATTAGATTTTGTGATAGAATTTTCTGAAGAATTTCATCTGCTGCGTGCCATATAGTTAGCCATGAAGTGGTGTTCTTAGACCAAATGAGAAGAAAGTATCTAATAATAATAATAATAATAAATAAACTAAAGAATTCTACTAGTTTAATATGCACTAAATTAAGATGAGTGTTATGGTCCACACTGTGAGTGTGAGAAAATGTAAGCTCCAAGATAATTCGTTGTAGCTCCGTGTCACACTGGGCGTGGCGACCAAAGAAGATGGGAATCCTGGACTCTCTCCCTCCAAAACAGAATTTCACAAGGACAATTAGTCACTTGCCTAAGCTTATTAGATATATTTTAAGTAAGTTATTAGTTGAACTAGTCAATGTGATTTTGATATGCATAGATAGAGTACAATATAGTGAAAAATTATACATTTGCAATGTACATAAAATTGAGTGGACATTTTTGTTAGTCCATGGGGCACCTGGGTGACTCGGTCATTAAGCATCTGAGTTTGGCTCAGGTCG